CTTTTCCTCCCTCCCCACCGCATCCCCGCTAGCACGGACCCCTGTTCCCTTCGCCCTTTCCTGGCGTGCTGTGTAGTGGGCCTCAGCGGGTCTCCTCTGTGCACCCCGCTTGGCTGTTCCCTTTCATTCCCCCTCCCTGCCCCCCCTGCGCCCAACACCGATCCAGCAGGCAGGGATTATCCAGCAGGCAGGGGTTTCCCCACTGCAGGTCACGGATCCTCTGTCAGGGTCTTCCCCCTGTTGCCAGCGATGCCCCACTTCCATTTTGCTGCCAGCGGTGGTCACCCCCCTGGGCCCCATCCTTTCCCGCCTCCCCCATGTGCCTCCCGGGAACCCAACGGACCGGAGCTGTTCCATTTTTATCTCCTACACCCCTAGGCTGGATAGTGGTGGGTGGCGATGGCTCCTCCTGCGTGTGCAGTTTGGGGGAGATTAGAAGGAATTGCTTTGAGCTCCCCTGATCCTCGCAGTCGTCCTCGTTCCAGTCTCCTCTCCTCTGGTTTTGCACTTGCTGTCTGAGAGGAAGCTTTAAAAGTCCCTTTCCCCCAGCTCCTCCGCGTTCCTAGTGCACAGGAGGCTACTGCCCTTCCTGCTTCGACCGCAGGGCCTGGAGGGGAGAGGGAGACCCTTGGAAAGGAGCAGGACCCAAACACAGAGTGAGACTGTTAGCGGCCTTTCTCCGCGCGTGTTTGTGTTCACTGTTTGTTCCCCACGCCCCATGGTGTCTCCTCTCCAGGTTGGGGTGTGTGGTGGGGGGGTCGCTATGTCGGATGACGATTCGAGGGCCAGCACCAGCTCCTCCTCATCTTCATCCTCCAACCAACAGACAGAGAAAGAGACAAGCACGCCTAAGAAGAAGGAAAGCAAAGTCAGCATGAGTAAAAACTCTAAGCTGCTATCTACCAGTGCCAAGAGGTGAGGCTGCAGTCAGTTTCCTCACTGATTCACTGCATCTTCTCTCCTTCCTCGTGTTATTTTGATCCGTTCCCCCGCTGCTCCTCTGTTGCTCCCATTCCTCATTTCGAGCCCTTAGGCTCAACCTTTCCACGCGAAGCTGCCATTGTCTCACTTTTTTCAGCGTCTCTGTGCAGCGAGTGTCTGTCCAACTTCACTGCTCCCTGCTCGCTCTTCCTGCTTCTTCCTCTCTTCCGTCCCAAATATTTTCCTGTCTTTTCTTCCTCCGGGCTGTTACTCTGTCCTTCAATTATTTCCGCCGTCTTTTCCTGTTTGTTTATTAGCATCAGTTATAGGGGTGGTGTAGGATTGGCATGTGGGACCTCAATTCCTTTTCTGCTCCTGGGAGCTACGTGGTCCCGAGGATGGCATTGCATTTCAACGTCCGTTTCCATCTCTGTAGGTTGGGATTGATCTAGAGTGGCTTTTTAATTTCCAGGACTGTTTTGGGGATTAATTAATGTTTGTGTAGAGTTTTGAGTTTGCTTGCACTGGGTGAGTGCAAGTGGTGTAATATAGCCCCAAATCTTTTCTGTCAAAAATACTACTGGTTTTCTGTCTGCTCATCACTTACATTGAATTTTCTGTGTATGGTTGGATGCTGAGTAGAATAAATAATCCACAGCAGGTCCACTTGTGGATATTCTGCACTAAAATATTCTTTGCTCACAACACAGAGTGGGTTGGTTTTTTTTTTTTTGAGAATGAAATCATTTTTATTCCAGAATAATGTCTACATGGAGGAGAGATGCCTGCATAGAATAGTAATTCCGGAACAGCTACGTCAGTCAGTTTTCTTCACCTGGACAGACTCTTGGAGCCACCCAGTTTTTTAAAAAAACAATAAATTGTTACCCTTTCTTTTTTATTCTGTTACATCTGAAGTCAGCACCATCCCGCTCTAGGGAGCTAAGCTGACAAATGGAAGTTTTTAAGCAAACTTACTTCAGTAAGAATAATAAACCATCTCACTGAACAGCTTTGCCAAGCAGCACAGAGAGGTGGTATCTGTAGGTGTCAAAAGTGACTGGGGTTCTATGCAAATATCCTGTCAGTCGCAACTGAGTCCTCTGTGGCTTTGTAGAATTTAGGCAGTTTGGTTATTCCAGATCTCTGCTCGTTTCCATGGCAAACAGACAGAGATAGTGGCAAGCGGTGTTTATGTGTCGTGCCCTTAACTGTTTAGAGAAGAAGACTGTAAACTGCCTAATACGAGAAGGCTGTGGCCCTCATGTGTGACCGGTGGAAGAGAGGCAGGAGATGCTGGCTGAGTTTAAAGGAGAAGGGAGGCAGGCTGAGTAGGCTGGGTGGGGAAATCTGTAGTGGAAGCCTGTGTGGCAGTAATGGGACTCCGGGGAAGGGGATGATGGCTGGCTGGGCGTTTTGTGGCAAAAGCAGCGTGAGCCCAGAATAGTCTGGGCAGGGAGGACAGGGTGTTGTCTGAACATGGTGAAGGGAGGGAGCGTCTGGAGTCCTGAGGGAGGGGACGTGGGCATGTCGTGTGGCTCTTGGGGAAGAGGCGAGGGGAGAATTGAAGGTGGCAGGAATGTGCAAGAGCCTCGGAAATAGATATTCACCTTCCTTTAAGTGTCCTTGGGAATGGCGCAGTTATTCGCTCCCTTGGGGCTGGTGTTTTCTCTCAGGATAGTGATGGGAAGCTGGGGGGGAGCAGTGGAGAGGGAAGGAACCAATTTGTCAATGACTATTTTTCTCAATCCAGCAAGACAAAATTCCTTTTCAATCTGCAGTTTCCTCTTGGCACTTGGTGCACCACATTTGCAGAGCCTTTCCCTCGTTACAGGCTGGTTGGCAGAGTAAAACGGGCAGTCTTTTCCGCTGCCCCTGTGTGGTCGGCATCTTTTCGGGAGCACACCGCAGCGCACCTGCCTGGATTCAGCGCACGGTGCCTGTCTGCTTCTCTGACCCTCTCTGTAACAGGCTGCCCGTCCTGCTTAGTGTGTTTGGACTGGTGGGAGGCTGCAGCTGAGAGCGCCTCTCTCTTAGGTCGTGTTGCAAACTTGTGGTGACGGTATGTCTGTAAGGCGTGTGTTAACTGCTATCCCACACGGTGACTTACCTTTGTTCCTTCTCGCTTTTATTGCCACAGGATTCAGAAGGAATTGGCTGACATCACCTTAGATCCACCTCCCAACTGCAGGTTGGTGTTGATTCCTTCCCTAAGGAGGGTGGGGAAGGTGAGGGGCTGAAGTGTGCTTGTCTGCTGTAACTGTCCTCGGAGGCTCTGGGTTAAGCAGAGAAATGGCCCTTTAGGTGGCCGACAGTGCTTTTGTGAATGCTTGGATGACATTTAATGTTTCAGGTGGAGGGGCCTCCAGAGATTCCCTGTGTTTTGATACAAGTTTTCTGTTTGTGTTTGGGGTTGTTTTGGTTTGGGCTTTGTGGTTTTGGTTCTTTTGAACAATTGCATTTCTGTCTGCGGCGCTGCTTTGTGTGTATGCTTCTGAAACTGGCCTGTAAAGAAGAGCATGAAAACTTTCTCCTTGTTTGTTTTTTTTCTGGTTTAGAAATCTAAAGCCTGACTGCACTAATCTTATATAAATAAGAGGCCTGGCAAGGAAGCAGAGAATAGTAAAATGCTATGAGCTTTTTAGCTCAGAGACCTCTTTTGTGAGCAGCAACTTGCAGTGGAAAAGAAGCGCGAATTCGTCACTCAGTGGGTGCCCGACAGGAGCACACACGTCTCAGCTGATGAAATAACAAGCAGGGATATTCTGTTGCCCTTTACAGAGCAGCTTGTTTCTAAGTATGTTTTAGAAACTTGTACCGTTTGTTTAAAACATCTCACAGGTTGATTTGGTTCATTGCGCGGTGGCCTGAGCCTCTTTGGAGGGGAGACAGTAGTAGTGTAACATCTTCGGTTGTGCTTGTTCATTCGAGGGGAAAGTTGCTGTCGGTCTGGTCTGTGTTGGCTGTGGTTGCCAAAGCACAACTCTGTTCCCGTCTTCTAGCAGTGGCTGAGGTTTGAGGCCTTGTGATGTTGGTAATAGCAGAAATTGGAGAAAATTCTGTTTGTAAATAACTATTTAAGTTGGTCTTGTTAGTGTTGTCACCCACAAACGCCCCTGACCCTTCTATTGGAGCTGTTTGCTGCTGTGAGTCTGCCAGGAAGCATTAGCACAAGGGTTGACCTGGCAGGTCCAGAGCCACTCTTTTGGTAGCTGTCCCAAGGATCACAATGAAAGGAGGCATGAGGCATGTGAGGGATGAGGCATGTGAGTAGAGGTCCAGGCCAATCCTAAGACTTTTATGCTGTTTGGAAGGTAACTGATGAGCTCTGAAATCTTTAACCATGACAATATTGGTTTAGTGACAGTAGCGACTACCTGAATATTAAAAGTTTCCAGCACTTGGGCTGGAGTTGTCCGTTCTGTCTGCATCTTGGCTCTGTGTCAGGATTAAGTCCACATGCTTTCCCTCCTCCTCCCACCATACTCTGATTTTCATGGAAAAGAAACACAGAAGCACAGCTCAGAAAGGCACAGTGGCTTGGTCCGTAGGTAACGGAGTCTGGATGATCAAGGTGCTGGGACCACACTCTGAACTTCGCAAATCTATCCAAAAGTTGTGACAGTATATGAGTATGTCAGATTCCAGGCTCCATCTGAAGGGTTGTGTAATATCAGAATCCTGATCTATCCTTGTTTCAACTGGCATCATTCACAGGTAAAGATGAGCTAGCACACTACTTGTCACAATAGGATATTGTTGTGATTTTTCTTTTTTTCATTACGTAGAACACTGAGAATAACAGTAAGTTTGTAAGTTTCAGCCTTTATAACTCTTTCTAATCCTAAAAATTAGTTTGTAGTATGAGTAGTGATGATTAATCTTCACCCATAATGCAATTACAAGTATTCTGCATTCCTTCTGACCTTCCGATGAGTGACAGCAAAGGCTGATAACTCTCACAAATAACACGTGAAACTGGTGTAATTGTTACTGTCTCCTAATACGTTGATATGAAGGAAAACGTGAATGGAGGGGTTTGTGTGACCAGAGGAGTTTTGGTATTGCTCATCTTGAGGTGAAGTCATCCTGCTTCGGTAGTGATAGTGCTGAGGGTGAAGGAGCACAGCTTTGCCTATGGCTAGCAGGGTTCCGGTGGTCCAGCCAAGCACTAGGAGTTTGCTTCTCCAGCAGCTGGTTTGGGAAAGGGTAGGCGGGTGCCGGTTGCCACAACAGGAAGATAAGTTCCGGCTATCGCAGTTGCGGGGAAAGATCCCCTCGTGGATCTTTCTTTTTAAAAGAAATAGTCCATTTGTGAGTGTGAGGAGGTGAAGCAAGCGAGTGACATGGGGTGCTGCAGGATGTTTAAGGTTGCCAGAATTTGCTCTGGGGAAGCCTGCTCACAGTGTCACTGCTATCCTTTCCCCCCCCCGTTCATATGAATGTTGTTAGCATGCTGGGAGGGATTAAATACATAGTTCCAGAACATAGTTTCAATTTCCTGCCTTCATGACTTTGCTTATCCTCACCATTCCTGTGACCTCCAGCCCCTCATCACTCTCTGCTGCCCTTGTGCCTCTACACACTTTCTTCACGTGTCACTGGAGGGGAGAGCAGACCTCTCCGACATCTCACTCTCCCCTGCATGACTAATCTCAAAACTTAACTATTCCGGGAGCTATATACAGTACCAGGTACTACCTATTTTGCTGCCGACTTGAAGGGTGGTAAAACCTCAGAAGTTACATTTGAAAATGTGCATCCAAAACTATCCTGGATTATGTTGGAAATGTCATTCTTCTTTTTTTCTGGGCATTTGTTCTTACGTCCCTCACCACCATCTCTGGATTTGCCCTGGCTCTGTGCTGTGCCTGGTGTTTGACATCAGTTTGTTTTTGGCTGTGCTTTAATTTTGGCCTCTTTGCAAAGTGTTGTTCTTCTTTCAGTCTTATTGCAGTAATGAGAGTTCAAGATATTTAACACATCCCAGAGCAGCTCTGCATATTGAAAGAAAAAGCTTTAGGTTGTAAATGATTTTTAGTAAGAACTTTTCTTTTTCTTCTTATAAAACACCACATATAAGATGCAGTTACAAATAATGAAAACCATTTGATATTTCAAGCAAAATAGCTTAAAACCAAATGAGTTTCATTTTTATTTTTGTAGCTTGTAGTGACCGTATTTTCATGTGTGCAACCCACAGATCATCTGTTTAAAAAAAACCAACAACCAAACCCCAGGCACACTCAACACCCTGTGATTGAGCAGCTGTGTGGGTTTTACACATATGTGGGTAATAGGAGGGGAAGTTTATCCCAGAACTTCCTCTTCCCTCAGAAGTTTCTTTTCCTTCTGATTTTCTGTCCCCCCCAAATGCTTACCTGTGCTCATCTCTCACCAACTGCTTCATCATTTCTTGTAGTCCCTTCGCCCCTCGTGTCTCCCTCCCCAGGCTGTGATTTTGATTTTACACAGGCTAGCGGGGTTATTTGTACAGAGGTGCATGGAAACACAGCCTGTGTTTGGCCTGCATTCAAAATATGGGTTTTTGGACTTGAAGTCATTTACTAAAAAGATGTGTTTAATACACGTCACAAATTTGTGGGTTCCTGATGGAGGCAGTGCTGTCCTCGTAAATGTTGGAGTGTAGCGGATGTGTGGCGTTCGGCTACTTCGGAATGGTTCTTACTCCTCTTCTTCATTTTCGCTAGCCTGGCTTGCTGGAGGTCTTTAATTTCTGTTGTCCGCAAGATGATCTGAGTTGCGATATTAATACTGAGTTATGAAAGTTAAATGTGGCTTTCAAGTTCAGAAGGTGGTTAGTGGTTAATACGAAATGGAGATTAACTCTTCGGACCGTAAGGGTTTAAAATCTGTTAGGACCATACCTGGTGATTTCTTCTCCTACTTTGTATCATATCAGAAAGTTATAACTCTTGTTTTCAAACCTGGAGACTTTGGACTTTTGGTCTTTTGTATATGTTGGTGACAGAGGAGTATGTCACGTCTTTGCTTTGGGTCATGGAAGTCTGCAGATGTCAAAATCCAGTTCCATCTTGCTACGTAGGCAGACCTGATCTTTGTAGATAACACTTGTGAGTATTGTGCAAAGCTTTCCTTCTGTCACTGTGACAAAGTTTCCAAAGCTTTAACAGAAATTAATTAAGGCTTTAAGTACTGTTTATTCTCTTTATGTCATTTATTTGACCTCTGTATCTAAGCATCTCCTGATAGTAAATCTGCTTATTGCTGTGAGGTTATGAAATAAATTTTTCCCCATTTCAGGGATGGGGAGTTGCAGATGCCCACAAAAACCAAGTGACTTGCCCAAGGTCACGCAGGAAGTCTGTGGCATAGTGGAGAAATTGATGTAAATCTCCTTTGTTTCAGGCTGGCTGGCAGCTGAGCTGTTCTGCTGGAGCTGTGCGCATCGGTTGCGATACGAGTAGGGCTTTGAATTTGTGCTTTATTGGGTGTCTGGTATTGACTGTGTGTAAGCATGGTAATTTAATGTTATTTTTCCCATCTGTGCAGAGGGACCAAAATGGATATTAACTAGAATTAATGTTTTTTAATCTTTCTTACCCTAACTGAAACAAGTTTGTCTCCACATGGCTCATTTAAGTCCATATAGGCAAGACCAGCTGTTACTTAAACAAAAATAATTTTCAAATGTTTTGTGAAGGAGGCATTTGCCTGCAAGGCTTACCGTCGCTTCAGGATAAAATGCTATCACAAATTCATTATTTAAATAATAATAAAATACAGTTGTGCTCCCTGGCTCCTTCAGCCCAGTCATTTACAATTCACAGAATAAGGACCAGATCTCCCTGAGAGTCTTGTGAAAGTTAACTGTCAGCACTTAATAAATATATGTCTCAGTATAGGTGGTGGGGAGAAGCGCTCTCCACCGTAACATGTGGAATATTCATAGTTTTCAAACTTTGCAATGTGGAATTAAGGTTTCTTGGCTGAAGTCTGCTGAAAATGTGTGGCTCAAAGGCGGTTTTGAACTCAATAGTTTGGTATTATAATTAATATATTTTGTCTACACATCATGGAAGTCTGGCATTTGTTTTGATTACATTTGGTTTTATGGTGCTCGTAATTTTTTGCAAATGTATTTCCTCAATACCTCCAACTCTAATAATGTGTGCTTTTAATTGCTTTTAAATCCAGTGTATTATCTAA